TGTCTGTTGAAAGAATATAGTAGCAAGAAAATTAAGACTTAATAAAAATAATATTACGTAACTCCAGTCACTTACCCATTTGTTTGTATATATATGTCCTCGATAACCTCCTGGTCAATAGTCAACTCATATTCATCCGTGAATTCTTTGTATAGGAGCTGTACTTGTTCCAAAGTAAAGTTTGGATTGCGGAATGGTTCATTAACATTGAGCGGTGAAGTGGTCAAGTTATTAGAGTTTAAATGTAGGATGCTGAAGATTCCGATGGCAATGATTGAGCGGATGGCATAGTTTTGTTTGCTGGGTTTTATACTACGAAAAGTTGTCAGACACGAGGTGCGAACATCTTCCATTGCACTATACAGCATATCAAATTCATCGAGCAGAATGACAGTATCTGAAAACTTCCACTGGTCTCTATGAAAAGTGTTAAGAAAATCGGTTGCGGATTTAATTGATAGGTTTTTTAGAGGGCCAAAAAATTCACGTGCATCACGCTGAAGTGCCATGCCGAGTGTTTTCCAGAATACGTCTACACTATTTTTTAAGTTGACTTGTTCAAAAGATGCGCTATTCAGAAGAAATAATAATCGAGAAAATAAAAGAGAGTTTGATTACGTTATGAGTGGTGAACTAGCATAAACAAACTATTAAGCGAGAACTAACCTACTATATGCAAGCTAAGCCTTCTTTTTGTACTTGTTCCTTAAGCATCAGTGCTCGAGTAGTTTTTCCAGATGCTCTAGGTCCATGTAGAGCCACAAATTGACCTTCTTGGATTTTCTCTAGAAGTGGACGACTCTCTTCTATTGGATCTACGAAGTATACAGCATGAACTATACTTGGTTGAATGGCACCATTTACTTCCCATCTCCTTTTCTTCGGCTTAGTAATCACAACTGATCAAAAAATTTTATTAGTAAGAATGAGCACGATATGAAGCAAAGCCAACTCTGTATAATCTTACGTTCTTCCTCTGCCTTTCTTTTTCCCTTAAGTTCTAGTATTAGCGAGGCACAAGTTAATAAATGAAATTATTGCGGAGAAAGCAGTATAGGTTTGGAATATTCGAATGCAGTCGTGGTACT